AAAAAGAAAACAGGAGTATGTAAATGGACAGAGTGACAAAAAGCAGGCCAATTACCCCCAAAATGAGACACAGTTATGGCTCCATTAACTCAATTATATTTTCAAAAGGATTTCTTACGCGGGGGCCCCCCACCCCACCCCCACATGCCTGTAATTTTTACATCAAGTTCAAGCCATTAAGATGCATTAAATTATTTTGTGGGAGATACAGAGGTGTGTTTGGGAAGAGGGAGTCTTGTCCAGCTTCACTGGGGGACCTGGGGTCGGGGACCCCAGCCAGTGAGTCCCAGGGAGTGGGGGTTCCAGCTCTCAGCCCTGAGAAATAAGGAAGAAGAGGAACCAGGGCTCCCCCAACATAGCTGGGACAGAACGGCCAGGGGGAAGCCCTTCTTGGCCCCATGTCCCCAAGGGCCCTTCTGCCCTGCCCACCCCCCTACCCAAGCATTTTTATTCCCAGGTGAGTCACTGCTCTGCACCCCACCCTGGGTGGCCCTGTGTGTGCCAATCCACAGGTAGGCACCTAACCTCTATGGCTTGAGATTTCCTCTTTGTCTCGTTAGAGTTAGAAAACTTAATTTTTGGAGAAGTGGAAAAATAAAGTATTAAAAAAACCCACACCAGGCCAGCCGAGTGGCGCGTTGGTTAGGAGTTGGCCTGGGATGCCAGCTCTGAGCAGCAGGTCCCCGGTTCGGATCCCACATGAGAGCCAGTGACGCTGCACCCTCTACAGCTGAGATGATGAACAACAGCTCGACCTGGAGCTGAGCTGCCGTGAGTCGCCGGCGACGGCGTAGGCTGCAGTGGGGCTGGCTGGCAGCAGGCGTGAGCTTTCGTGAGCCGCCGTGAGCGCCCATGCAATGCCGGTGAGCGACTGCCTCACCCGGGAAGAGCACAATGGTCACAATACCAACATGGGCCAGTGAAACAACGTCCTCCACAACTAGACTGAAGAACAAAAGGACAGCAACTTGTCTGTTCCCCTTCCCCGATTCCCTAATGCTGTTCCCCTCCCCCAATTACTTAATAAAATCTTTAAAAAACCAAACAAACAAAAAAACCCCACACCATCAAAATTGGGGAATAAACAGGGATATGTTGATGCCCGCACTTCACACAGCCCAGAGTCCCAGGATAGGAGGGTCTTAAAGGACTCTGGGCAATTGTTCAGCCCTGGATGGCCTTTGGGTTTGCCCAGAGGTGCTGGGCAGGCCCTGGAGGTCCCCACATGCCGCCCACCTGGGCTTCCAGCCTGGTTCTTAAGAACGTGCCAGCCCTAAGGCTCGGCGGCTGTAACCTGCTTTTCCACGTCAGCTGGCCCCGGGGAGCCAGGCCTGCCCTACATAATAAGTCTGTGCCTGGGCCGCTGGGAGCCAGCCCTGCCTGAATGTCCAGGAATTCGGTGGAGACAAGGACGAGGAAAAGGAAGGGCTGGGGCACGGAGGGGCAGTCAGACAGGGTGTTGCTGGGCAGAATAGCAGGGTCACTGGGCCAGGTCACTGGCCAGAGACTATAAAACCAGCCAGTGGTGGACAAATGGATGGGCAGAGACTCAGGTTGAACAGCAGGGGTGGGGTGACCCAGAGGCACAGCAGGGCCCCTCCAGGGCTGGCAAAGTGAAGGGGTAAGCCACAGTAAAAACAAAAAATAATTTTTCCCCCTTTGCTGTTTGAGTCACCACACCCAGGTAGCAAGGGGGCCCATTTAGGACAGGCTGAAAAGAGGGCCAATCTGGGCAGGCTGTATAGACCTGTCCTCTGGGGTTCCCCATGGGCTTGTGGGGGGAGCAGAAATGAGAGAGGGGTCCCCTCTGACCTGGAGAGGGGCCACCAGCAGGGCCACCTAAGGGGTGATGGCACTGTGGGGCCCCTGTGTGAACACTAGCCCCTCATTGCCACCATCACCCCACAAGCACCCCAAACTTGCTGTGCCCATGCAGCTGAAAGACAAGCCCCACTCCCTCAGCCCCCAGTTGGAGAGCCTGGTGCACGAGACACAGGAAGAGTGGAAGGGACCACGTGCGTGCGTGCATGTGTGTGCACGTGGGTATGTACGTGTGTACAAGTGAGACAGGACCCCCGATTCCTGCTGCCTGCCCCATGTCTTCGGCAGCACGAAGCTGGGTGGTGTGTGTGCCTGGACCCAGAAGTGTGCATGCAGGTGAATGGTAGGTGGGGCTGCTTGGAAATGCGTCATCACCCCGATTTAGGGCATGGCCGTGGGGCTTCTGGCAACAATGGGACAGAACCTCTGGTGGCAAAGTGGTTGGTGTAAGGGCTGGGAGCTCCCAGGAGAGGGAGACATGGGCAGGAAGCAGCTTCCAGTGAAGGGGCTGGGTTTGGAGAGGCAGCTGGAGGTCTGAGGCTGGCAGGCAGAGGAGAGCTGGGCAGTACCGGGGGTCAGGGGCCTCAGGCTGGGGGAGCAGCGGGGTGATGGGCTGCTCAGGTGCCGGGGAAGATGCTGCAAGGAGGGCGCTGTGATGTTGTGAGAGCACCCCCAGCCCACCCCCAGCCCTGCAGTAACGCTCCCCAGCCTGGCCTTCTTAGCGCCATACCAGGACCCTCAGGCTCACCAACCCTCCTGACCCTAAGGATGGGGCTGAGCCTAGCTCTCCCTCACTGCCCTCCATCCCCAGGGGGCCCCCCAGCTGAGGGGTCTGAGGGGGGTAGGGGCCCCACCTCCCCCGGGACTGGGGCTGCTGTCTTGTGCCTTATCAGCCAGCTGCCTGGTCACTGTTAGGCCACAGGGCTCCAGCCAGCCTGTCCCTGCCAGCGAGTGGCCTCTTGCCGTGTGCTCAAAGAGCCATTGTTCCTTGAAGGAGGAAGACACCCGTTGCCATGTCAGCCAGCCCAGCAGGGTCAGACCCAAGGGCGACTCCCCAGCTCCAGCTGTGCAGGGCAGCCAGTAGGCTGCAGAGGCATTGCCTGGAGTGTGGCTTGAACTCAGGGCCACCTCCCCTGTTCTCAGCCCCTTCAACCCCGTCTCAGTCTGAGGGATACAGGAAGGATGTGGAGCTGCACTTGTCCCCAAAATTAGCTGCTGTGGCATCACCCCTCCCAGGTGGCCCCTTGGGGGGAACCCTGGGGCCCCGCTCTCAGCTGGTTCCAGTCACCAGGAAGTCTCTGCCTACCTGCAGGGCTGGGAGAACCTGGCCAGGGGCCAGGGCAGCACAGTCTCTTCCCCTGAGAAGGTGGACATGACCGGCCAGGGTGCTGGCAGGGCAGGCGCTGCAGGACCGCCCCTCCTGGGACCCACCTGCCCAGCCTGCTGTGTACACATCACCTGCCTTCACTCTCTCCCCAGTCTGCTCTCCATCTCTTGGTCTCTCCTTTGTGCCTCTCTCTGTCTCTGGGTGTCCCCATCTCTGCACCCCCTTCTCACCCTGACCCCCGACAGCTCGTCCTCCACAGGTGTCAGCCTGCTGGAGGGACAGAGGGAAAGAATGCCCAGAAGCCCATGCCGGTTGTCTGCCTGTGTGGCCGGCCGCCTGGCTCCTTGGGCCCCGCCTCCCCTGACCTGCCACCCAGCCTTCTCAGACTCCACGCTCCGCTTCAGTTCACCTGGAAAACCTCCCTGACTCCCAGGCACCTGGATGAGAGCCACCCAGCCTCCTGCCACCGCTCCTGCTCACATGGCCTTTGCCAGTCCTGTCCCTAGAAGACACGTGCGGTTCTGCCAGTGCCTTCTCTCTGTTCTGCAGGAAGCTGCAGTGACTAGGGCCAGGCCCCTCCTTCCTGAGAACACTCCCCTCAGAGAACAGCGGCCTGGCACCCCAGACAAAGGGCACGGGCTGGTGGCCCTCAGGCTCTGGGGGCTCTGCAGCCATGGCCCAGCGGCCAGGGGTCCAGATGGGCAGCCAAAGGCTGGGTGAACACTGGGGTCCCCAAGAGCCATGCGACATTTTCTGGGGTGGGGTCATGGGAGGCACAACGGAGCAGAGGCCAGGCCCAGCTGGTGCCCCCCATGGTCCTGAGGAGCAGGACAGAAAGCCCCCCTTCCTTTTCCTTGGGCTGGCAGCCACAGGGGCCTGGTTGGGTGTCCAGGCCGCCCAGGGCTGGTTTAATCTCAGCCCAGGGCTGTGGGAGTTGCAGATGGTGGGGTCACCGCCGTGGGGATGGTGCCCCGGGGCCGCAGCCTGAACGAGCGGGCTCTGCACGCCCACCCTGGCCCCACATGCCGTTCACCCGCTGTGCTCTTCCCAGCACAGAGCTCCTCAAGATGAGGGAGTTGTCCTTGAGGGCTCCGCCGCCCCACACCGAGGTCTAGGCCCCAAGGTCACTGCCAGCCCCTTGCTGCAGGAAGGGAGAGGGGTGACCGGGAGGTTACGGTGTAGAGGGAGGAGGGGGCCGGGGCAGGAGAAATAAAAAGAGATTACATTTTTAAAAGGTACTCTAGCTGTCTGCTGACACCATCTCTGGTCTCCATCCATTTTATAGCCTGACGGCTCAGGCAGCTGGGCCTTGTCCGGCGGGGCTAGCGGAAGGTAGGGGTAAGGACCCCANAAAACCACAATGACATTCCATTCTGTTCCTTGGATTGGCCAAATTGATGATACCGATTGTTGGTGACAATGTAGAGCAGGGGTCCACAACCTTTGGCCAAACTGGGCTTGCCAATGTCTTTGTAAATAAATGTATATCCTCTAGGGCTGCCTTCCCTCAAAACCCCGATCCTCTCCGGAAGGAGCGGCGACACCCTTTCCTTCCTGCGCTCCACTGCCGTTCCGTATAGGGGTTCTGCTGGAGGAGTCCAAGGTGGGGCTGCGGAGCCCTGGAGGTACAAGCGCGGCGCTCTGGACAGGTGCGCCGTCACCCGGCCCCGCTCCTCTCATTGGTTCGCGACCCGCCTAGCCCCGCCCCTCAATGCCTTGCTTCGGCAGAGCCTGGTAACTAGTTCCCTGTCAGGCCCCGCCCAACCCTGTCCAAGGCCCCGCCCCTCCCTTCCAGGCCCTACCCTGTCCCCGCACGGCCCCGCCCTCGCGTCGTCACTTCCGGGCAGAGGAACCCGCGAAAGGCGGAAGTGTGCGCCGCGGGGCTGCCGCGAAGCTCGGCTGAGGTGTGCCTAGTTGGCATCTGGCGGCTCTTCCGGGTTTGGGCGCCAGGACGCGGAGGCGGCCGGCGGGAGTGAGCGGAGGACGATGCTATGAGAAGGCCGCAGGGCCTGGCGGGGTCTGGAGGTTGACCGCCCCCGCCGCCTTCCCGCGAGGCCGCCTCCTCCAGGCAGCCGCCCGTCCCCCCTCCGGGCCTCGCGCCCCGCTGTCGTCCCGGCGCTTCGCACCCGGGCTCCCGGGCCCCAGACCCCGCGCCATGACCGCGGCCGCCGCCTCCAACTGGGGGCTGATCATGAACATAGTGAACAGCATAGTAGGGGTCAGTGTCCTCACCATGCCCTTCTGCTTCAAACAGGTGAGTCCAGCGGGCAGTGGTCCGCGCCCTCGCCGCTCCGGGCTCACCCCGCTCCGGCCCTGTGCTCACCGGGTCGGGTGGCGCCCGGGCTGGGCGCAGGCGGCTCCGCGGCCCGCCGCCTCGGGGTCTGCAGGAGGAATGCAAGAAGCGATGGAGAGCGCGCACGGCCTGGCGCTGGCAGCAGGTCCCACGCCGTTAAGCACTTAAGACGGAGGCGCGAAGTGTAGCAAAGCGGAACCCTCTCCCCGAAATGGACAGCGACCCGAGGAGTCAGTGTTGCTTTTCTTTATTGTTGTGTTTTAAAACTCTGACCCTGCTGCGCTTGCCTGCAGAAGCACTCGCGCAGTCAAGGCCCCCAGGCCTTGGAACGAGATTGGGGCGTTGGTTACAAGGCGATGACAAGGTCTGCCCGATTGCACGCTTCAGGTCTGTGCGTTTCGCGATACGCGGATCGTACCTCAACTGAAAAAAGCTGAAATTTAAAAAAATTGGTATCACGCCAACATTAAATACCGCAGGAAAGGAAGTCGCCGTTTCCGAGGGCTGGATTTGTTTGGCTTCTGTTTACATAACCCACAGGTAAACAGGCATTTGGTACTTTAGGAAACGGAGGTTGGTGATGGATGGACTCGNTGTAGAGGGCAGTGTCACTGGCCCTCATATGTGGGATCCAAACCGGGGCCTCTGGCATCCCAAGCCAGTTCTTAACCATCGTGCCACTCGGCCGGCCCTCAATCTTTTATAAAGTGGTCTAGAGCATATTTAGAAAACTTTTAGTGGACATTCCATGTGAATACAGCTCAATGTCACATGGCTCCCACACTACTCCCACCTCCACCAGATGCTACCCCCCCAAAGAGAATTCTGGAGACCTGGGACAGTGGGGTCTTCCTTCGCAACCCCCATAGGTTCTGCATGACTTTTGTCACATACTTGGTGTGCTAACTGAGTTGACCCTACTGCTAACCAGCAGACTGGATACCACCCTTAGCCCATGTCCACTGATGCCCAGGGGTCGCCCCAGGGGCCCCAGATGCACGGGTCACTTGACTGGAAGGTAAGCAGGCAACTGTCTCAAGACCCTCATCCCAGGCCCTGTGGGCATCTCTAGGAGGGTGGTCCTGGCCCTGACCACCAGGGCTCCCCGCTAGGTGGGGAGATGCAAACTGGCATACTGGGGAGCTGTCACGGGGCAGATTGCCTCCCGGCAGACCCTGTTCCTGAGCACTGGGCTCTGCGCTGGAGACTGGCAGTGGGCTGTGCAAGGCCCTTAGCTGAGGGGGGAACCTCACAGTTGGTGTCCCTTCCCCCACCTGGAGGCCCTGGGCTCAGCCTACCTGGCAGCCATGGCATGTGTGAGAGGCAGACATTGACCAGTGGACTGACCCTGGCTCCGGGTGGGGACTCCTCTCTGAGTCACCAGGCGAAGGGACAAGGAGAGTCTTTGTGTTGTGGCTGACCAGGTGTCCGGGCCAGGCGGTGCCTGCTAAGAGATGAGCAATACACTTCCTGCTTCTCAGTTTCCTAGGAGGTCCTCCAAACCCCCTTTTCTAGCTACCCACTGACATCCCACCATCCTTCCACCTTCTATCCTGCGTGACAGCAAGAACGGTGCTGCTTTTGTCACCAAAATCTGACTTTGGCTGATGTGAGACCCACCGAGATGAAACTAATAGGGTTGGGACTTGAGGTTCTACCCAGAGGAGATGATGATCCAGGTCATACTCACCAACCCACCCACCCATCCATCCATCCATCCATCCATCCATCCATCCATCCACCCATCCACCCATCCATCCATCCACCCACCCATCCATCCACCCATCCATCCATCCATCCATCCATCCATCCATCCATCCATCCA